ACTGTGTGAGAGAGGAGAGAGAAAGAGAGAGTAGGTGGAGAGTTGCTTTCATAAAGCTATAATTATTGTCAAACTTTGGGAAATTGCTTTTATTATTATTTGCTTTGGTACAACAAGGGGGAAAAACAAATAATAAAATAAATAAATAAATAATGTGGGCCCACACCCACTAAATTTTAGAGAGAAAAAAACTTATGAAAGTGACCCCACAACCTCTAAATTAGTCCTGAGGTGGGCCCCACCCACTTTGGCGGATGACAACATAATGGATTACACTGGGCCCCACCACAATCATTGAGGGTAATATTTATTTAATTAAATAAAATATTTCAAACTAATGTATATTTATTAATTATAATTCTTTATTTTCTTTTTTATGGTTAATAAGTTACAACTTACAATAGTACAACTGTGATCAAATATGGCAGCAGATCAGGGTTTTTAGTAGAAACAATTTTTATTTCTGAATGGTGTCAGATTTTAGAAAAATTATTGTTTCACCCCCAATTTTGCATCTATTTCCCAATTAGTCCCGCATGTTCTGAAAACAACATATTTGGTCCCTAATGTTTCAAAATTCAACAATTTTAGTCATTATCTTACATTTTTCTTAAAAAAATAATAGAATCGAGCGTGTGCCTATCACTGCCTTATTGACGGATTAACGGTAAACTGACGAAAATGACCAAAAATATTGAATTATTGAAATATGAGGGACCAAATGTGTATTTTTTTGTGAAATCAGTGCAAACTTGAAGGACAAAAACATAATTTTTGATTTTTGATTTTAATTATATTTAATTTGATGGAAACAATATCCATGGAATATGCCTGAAAATGCTTGAGAGAACTGATGAAGACCAATAGAGTCATGTCAAATGGGTGACAAAAAGTAGTAGTAGAATAGGGAAATTTGAATAACAGTCAAATAAGCAACTTTATTATGAATAGAGTGCTTGAAATCACGAAAAGATCATAACTTTTATGTTGTGAGGGAGGGGCTTAGGTGTCTAGTGGGAATAATTGTAGGGGTAGAATCGTCTTTTTTTATCTATATAATTGTAAAATTAGGCTAGCTTTTTTGTAAGATTAGGGGAGAATATTTCGATTTTTTTAGTTATAAACTATCCAAAGAGTTTAATTTCATTCTATCATTATCTTTAAACATGAAGACAAAAAAAATAATAGAAGGGGAACAATGCCAATAATGATGAAGAACAGTTGTATTTGACAACCGGTCGTTGGATCGAGTTTGTCACACGTGATTAGCCCAGTATAGTTCACGTATTTCGTATAGTTTGCAAGTTATTATACGAGAGTGTAAGTTTATTCACTGCTCCCATATGGTTGATTGAATGTTCTGAAGTATCTGGATGTTAGAAAATAATTTTGAATTTTAGATGAATTGACTAAATTTAAGTTTAATTTAGATATAATGATGTTTCGATCCTGCCATTATCCATACTTTTCGAATTTGTAAAAGGATTTGAATATTGCTAAAAAAAATTGATTGTTTAAATAGTAGTGTTGGTTCATCATATTAGAACATAGTATTAATTTTATTAAAATATGATAATAAATAATACTTCTCCACAACATCCCTAATTTGACAAGAAAAATGTTCATAGTTTGTTATATTTATGGATAATAATTATTTTATTTTCATTGGATAATAATATTTAATTCTTTTATTTTTGTTGTGGATATGAAAAACTTGGATAATCCAAATAATTTAACTAAGGATAAGAGTTATCTTACCTATATACTTTGTACTTTACAATGATGATGCCATTTAATTTTCAATAAAAATAATTTTTCTTATTCTAATTCAACAAGCATCCATTTTTCATTGACAATTATGTTATGTGAATGGTACTAAAAAAATATATAATTCTGGATTTGTTTTTGTGGTCACATCCAATAATGTACAACTACACCTAGATAAGTGAACTCAACATAATTTAACCTTTTTTTAATTATATTTTTATCTATTTAAATATCTTTTAAATTTTATTTTTTCTTTAATGTAAATGTAGATAATTAGTGTTTTTTTAATGTCCATAATTGCAGATATATTATTGTCAGTGGCTTCAATGATTAAGTACCTGCTAATTTTTTTAAATATAACTAAAAAAAGAAATAAAAAGCTGATAGTACTTACTACTTTCTTAATGATAGGTAATTTTCCATTTTTTACTAAATGACAGTATCAGAAAGAAAATCAGAGTAATTAATTAAATTAAAAAAATTTAATAAGCTAATTAAAATCTTATCCTAATTAAGAGCAAGCCAACAAACAGTCAACAGGTACAAACCCAAGAAAGTCAATATTCTTTGCTTGGGACCTCAAAAAAATTAAAATAAAAAATAAGTTAAATTATATTTATTTATTTTTCCATTTCCAATGTATACCATGCTAAAAAGCTTCTTTAAAATAACTTTTTTTTTGGTTTCCTCTTCTAGGTTTAATTATTCTGCAAAATTTCATTGCACCCACTCCCTCTTGTCTGATAAAAGAAAATGGATTTCACGTGCTTCACTACAACTATATATTAAAATGTGTGTGGCTAAAATAAGCCATTTAAGTTGTATTTATTGAAGAAAAAAATATCAAGAAATGTGATTTATTTATTTATTTTAATTTTTTATTTCCGGTTAAAACTAGATGAGGGGTTCAATTGTTCAATAATTTTACTCAATTTTCTAAATAATATATATGCTACACTGGATGACATAGCCTGGTTATTTACATATATCGATCATCAATTTATAATATCAGCTATATCCACTTGTGTGTCGTCCCGTAAGAAATGACCTAGTCTTAATTGATCGAAGTTTGAATCCTCTTGTCAACGGTCGATAGCCGAGTTTGTCACACATGGCTAGCCTAGTGTTGTTTACGTCGTTCGAATGATTTTCAAACTATTATACAAGAATTATATTTATCGAAGAAAAAAAAAAACTATGTCCACTTGTAATAAAATAAAAAATAGATTAACACGAGAAAAGAGTTGATTATTGATAGCTTTTAACCACGTAGAGTAAAATTCACTTGAACCCTATTCCAAATGTCAAGAACCTTTCCTTCATATTGGGGGAACCATTATTCCTTAATCTTAAAGTCCAATCTCTATTTCCCAATTTTAGAAAAGAAAATTTTATATACATTTAAGAAATGGTAGAATGTAATTTAGTAACCCTACTAACTAATTAATGAGTTTCTTCGAACCTATACTCGGTGTAGGGATGTAAATTGGACGGATTGAATCCGAATAGCCATTTCAGAAAAAAAATCTGATTCTTTTAAGTCAAAAACTAATCCCAATTCCGTTGACTTTCTTTTTAGAAAAATAAAAAAAATTGAATTTCGGGAATTGAAATGAAAACACTTCCGAAATCGAAAATTTTCAAATTGGAATCTGGAAATTTTCAATTTTGGTATTTTAAGTGCAATATTGGTATTTTAAGTGCAATATTCTATTTTTTTTTTTTTGAATTTTCGGAACTTTAAATTGGATCGGAAATCAGAACGTCACATATTTTTAATTCTTATCCAAATGATTTTGATAAAAAATCAGAATTTCGAAAAAAAATAAATTTCCGAATTTCATGATTCAGATTGAGAAATATTGTTCCAAAGTCGAAAACTTTCATATCGGAATCGGTGAAAATCGAAAAATTTGTTCCAATTTCAACCCCTAACTTGGTGTATCATCATCCACACGTATGTGATTGTTTGTAGTTTTATAGTTCAAAAATTATTTGGTGCACCTCAAAACCTACACAACCTAAATAATGTTACAAATTCATTAATACAACAACCGGCATTTTTATTAACATTAATTACACATAATGAGATTTAGACTCCCACCTTATTTGTTTGTTACATTGAGGTATCAATTCAATGATTATAGATTCAATACATTTCCGTGTAAGAATAGTCGCATATAAAATATGAAATCAAACATAACATAAATACAGTACGAGCCACTTCAATTTGTTATATTGAATTGCACCAAACCTATCTCATGTTAGTTTATCGGCAAATAATATTCTCTTATGCCTCGTTTGGTTGGAGAAATTAGCTATGATTAACTAAATAATGGTACTTTGTTTGATGTTTGGTATCCCAATAACTTACCTGGTCGACCCGCAATCATGTTTGCATGTTTTTTTATTTGATCTTTCAAGGTCCAATAATAAAATTAGATTTCATTAGATTATTTAATTTTATGTTGGCTGATCTTATCTTAGCAACGAAACGAGGCCTTAGGATTTAATTATTTTGACAATTATAACCCTTGGCTTAGGAGGTTGTGTGCTAATTCATACTTAATCAAAATAGTTAGTACTCCTAATCAAAATTATCTAAAATAATGTAAGGCGATCTAGTTAGGATGCATCAGGTAATTTTGCACTGTAAATCTATACAGATTGCAAAAATCACTAAGCACATAAACAAGTTACGTGTGTTATACTATAGACTCATACAAATAACCACCCGTTTTTTAGCCGTTCGATATTACCGAGTTGTTTTATAATGTTAAACCAAAACATACGTCTACCAAAACCCCCCATTCGCCATCAAACTTGGAGTTGTTTGTGATTCCAAAATCGTCATACCAAACGCACCCTATTTTTTTATAATCATAAAGCAATAAAATTCCATACTCCAAAGAAACTTACAAAATCGAGAATAATTAACAAATTAAATACTGACATTAGCAAACACCCAAAAA